ATTTTTCTCTCTGTTGCTGATCCCCTGCCGAGGCGTTGGCAGATGAAAAGGAGGAGGGATGAGGAGGTGCAGCGAGATGAAGCCATTCTTTCAGCGCTGTTCCTACCGCCAGCGCCAGGAGCCTTGGACGCTGAGTTACGTTTCCTGTGTTCGCTTCTCATGTCAGCGTCTATTAAGGAGGGATAATGATCTACCATTTATTGATGAATATCGACTTTGGTACAAAAGAGTTGTAGGCATCGTGTCACTCGTGTTATCGGACTGATGCCCCGGAGGGCGTCGTCCTAATTTCCTAGCTATTCTAAACTATCTTGCAAACACCCTAAACCGTTAAGAGATCGCTCCCGCAATTTTTCTCCCTCGTGACGTTAGTGAGGAAGATAGAGTGCCGGGGAGAGAGCAGGAAGCCGCCCATGACAGGGGGTCAACTGATCAGCATTCAGAGGCGACTGTTTGGCCGGCACCCCTTCGGGAGGCGCATTGATAACATTCTGTGATCCAGTCGCCCCCTGCCCTCTCCGCCCCTCGCGGCCCTCTGATAGCCCCTTCCTCCGCTTCTTTTTTCCGCGCCATCCTAGCTCGGCCGGTGCTGTGAATACCCAATTATTGCCGGCGCTGTTGCAGGCATTTTTCATCTCCGCCTTTAGCTCAAGTATTTCTTCCTAGTCTGAATTTATGATCACTTGTGGCTCGGCTCATGACGCCGCCACCATAACGACGGATACAGTTATGATGACGTCGGAGTGAACGTCACTTTCTTGTCGAGGTCTTTTGTGCGGTGGTTGGGTTGAGGGGGGAAGAGGGGGGAGGGGTGGTTGACACTGCCGTCATCACGTGACTCACTGGTTATTATTCCATGCTCGGTAACAGTGTCGCGCGTCCCCGCCGTGGTGAGTCACCCTGGAGGAGTGACTGCCGCCAATCCCTCGCCCATTTACTCTCGTCCAAGCCGTGTCTGTCGTCGGCAACATTTCCTTGACTTTTTTCCTTCTAATTTGTCATCTTTTTCCTGGTATTAAGTCGTAATTAGCGCTCTCCTCACTAATCCCTTCCTTATCCTGCAGCCACCGCGACCCCTATCCGCCCCCATCCATTTGTTAGCATTCCTCTGCTCTTATCTCCGCCCACTGAATCGCTCGTCGCCGCATATCGCCCTCACAGACGCCCGTTCTTGCCCCTTCCAGAATGAAGCGCCTCTCTGCCTTTCACCCTGCCCTCCCCGCCCCCTCCACTGCCCTCCCTATCCCCTGCACTGACCTCCCTCCTCCACCCTATCCCCGACTGGCCTACATTAACACATGAAGGGGAGCTCCTGTACATGTCGGGGGCGTGGTGCAGCGCCCTGGTTTGTTCAGGTGCCCGTTATCGAAGGCGTGACTCCTAGTAGCTACTACACTTCCGTTCTCGCTTCATCCACTTCAAGCAAGGGGAAGAGAAGGAGGGGGGGGGGGGGTAACGGAAGGGACGCGGACAGACAGAGAAAGGGCAAGGGAGGGCTAGTAGAGATTGCTAGTTTTTACATGGCTACCACGCAGTTTCACAAAATGAGTATGTCCATGAGAGGAAGGGGAGGCACAGAATTCATATAAATCTCTGACGATCGAGTAAAAAGTAGGTAATTTTATTTTTATTATTATTATTATTATTATTATTATTATTATTATTATTATTATCGTGTACAGTATATTAATGCGTGTGTTCCTTCACAATCTCGCTTATGCAAATTCTAACCTTTGCATGTCTTTCATAAGTCTTTATAAGTCTGTTATCTGGTATAAACCATTCAGAACTGAGGTTCCTTTAGTCAGGAATGATTCGGTATTATCCAGCCAACTATCCTCCTGACATGCCGGCGGAGGTACTCTTTAATCCTGCTTCCCCGCCAGTTTTCCCGCGCGCTCACAGGAACCGGGCCACCTTGAGCCTCGGTTCGCGCCGAGATTTATGGATCATCGCGAGGGCGTAAGCGATCCAAATAAGCAGGAAGGAACACGTCTCCCAGGGGGTGGTGTTGACACTCGCGTCTTATCGTGCGTTTACAAGGTCGTCCTCGCCTCCCCCCTCTCTCTCTCTCTCTCTTCAGCCTCCCTCCTCCCCTCCCCAGCACGGCAGCGGCTAGGCCCTGGAGGACCTTACCGCCGGGAACACGTTTTTATTTGTGCCTTCGAGGTGTTGGTAATACGGCGCTTGGCAAGGGATGTCTCGCCTCGGTTTCACATGGTTGATTTCGCATCTTGCTTTTTCTGTTATACGATAATGCAACAAGAGGCAAAAATAACAAGTAACATTTGTCGAGCAACGTGGGCGTCCGAACCCGAAATCCTTCAGACTTTCCTCTGATTTACTTCGGGTCCGTTGATTAATAAGTGAATTGATCAGACGATGTATTGAATATTTTAAACCCTGGAATCCCGCGTCCGGCTGGAGAGGGCGTCCGAGGGCGCGAAGGAGCGGCCGGGATCCGGGGACAAGAGCAGCAACAGGTCTGCGGTGCCGGGCGAGCGTATAAGGCGAAGGCGATTTCTGATGGTCATCGGAGCCGGCCAGGTTAGCGCGCTGATTTAGTGTCGCGCCGCGTGAGAGGCAACGTATGGGGGAGGAGGGAGGGAGGGGGTGAATGGCGTGTGTGTAATAGCGTTGAATAACGTGGCCGGAGACGGGGTCCTTTGCGGGTGATTCATGGCCTCCAGATCTTCCGGAAGACAGGTAGAGGGCGCGCCGGAGATCGGCATTTTATCGTGCGACATCTGTGTCTGGCGGATGCTATCTGCCGGACGACAAGCGATCCAGGCAGCTTAAGGCATGAAGCCAACATTTTGGTAGCTTTTAGTGGCGTCGCAACATTAATGCCGACTTGTTGGCGCCGGATGCCGGCACCCTGATCAAGATACCGCGAAGATTTCATCAGCTGTCGCAACAAGTGGACACCCGGAGCGCAATACGACAAACTTACCTTACGCTTGTTGATATTTCCCCTGATGCTGAGGCTATCTCCGCGCTCGCTATTTGTACCTGACTTGTCTGTCGCCATTCTCGATCTAGATAACCGATGTTTGCAAACACTGCCACGCAGGTTATGCAACCATGATTATGAATTCGCGATGCACGTGGCACACCTTACTAGCGCGTCTTCATCCGGACACAGACAAGCGTCTGTGAAGTGGGTCATGACAGCATTAGGATAATGAGCGGCCGGTCCTAGGATGCTAATTCATCACAAGGTTAATTGTCTTCTCTTGGTTGGAGACGCCTCTATCAAAGAGAAAAAACGTCTTGAGTGCGTGTTGGTCACTTGCGCTCGTTACGAGGTGGGCCTGCAATAAAAGTGGGTGTGCAGGGAGAGCCGTGGGTGGGCGTGGGCGCGGTTGCCTAGGACGAGGGTAGGCGGGGAGCAGAGATAATTAGGGCGGGAGGGCGGCGACCAGAACGGCGTCGGAGCATCAGGCGGTGGCGATCACCCGCAGTAAATGATTTTAATGGTGCTTGCGCTGTCCCTGGCCCCCGCGAGCGAGCCCGTGCTCCAAGGCGCCCAAGAAAACAATTATTCATGCGGTACCCTCGTGGCCTCGTATATGATTCCCTTTCTCGTTTCGCTCTTCTATTTTGTGCCGATCTTCATTAATTTGTTTTTCATTTTTTCACTTTTCTCTATTCATTTTGCGTTTCTTTTTGAGACCGAATACACAACCACCGACGTATCCGTGGAGGCCGCAGGCCACGGAGATTTCATAAAGAGCGGAGTGATCTCGCCGATCGCGGAGAAGGTGCGCCCGGTTAATTATCGCGGCTGAAAGGAAGGCGGAGCCACATCAGATGTGACATAAAGAAAATTAGGTGAACATGACACCCTTTTTTGTAATCGGAACCTCAGATTAGAGGTGTGTGTGTGTGACAGGCCTGTCTTGGTCGGAGGATGACAGGGATGGAGGATGGGGTGTGCACAGAATGCAAACTGGAGCGAGAGAAAAGGAGTGGGGGAGATGTGAATAAAGTAAGGTGGGCAAAAAAGGATAAACTGTGGAGGAATGGACTCTGGGAGAGCGAAGACGGAGCGGGTATGGGTCCTCGCAGGTGCGGTGGGGCCGCCGTGGTGAGCCCAACCATCACCTAGTGGGCCAACACCCACCTCGGCGCCGTCCTCCGCCCCTCTGCCCCCAACCCCCTCCAGCATCCGGACACCGCCCTCTCATCTCGTTTCATCTCCTTCTTTCGATCCTTCTCCTCTCTTTTGGCTCACTTGGGCTAGTTTGCGGTTTACTTTCTTCCGATCTTTATTTTTTATGTTGTTTCTTTATTGTTTCCTGTCACTTTATTTCATGCCTCTCTCACCATCTCCCTCTCTCCCTCTCTTTATGAATCTATCTATTTAGCTATCTATCTCCTTACCTATCTATTTACCTATCTGTCATCTCCTTACCTACCTATCTATCTATCTATCTATTCTCCGTTCCTTCACCTCTCCCTCCTTATTCTTATCCCCACCCTTCGTCTGAATAATGGGATGACTTCAGCACATGTCAGTATACTTTTTCAGAGATAGAAAAGGCTTCTTTGCATCTAATTGCGGGTGGCAGGAAGGCAGGTTTGGGGGCACGGGCACGTCAGCGCACGACATTTCACGCCGAATGACTCCGAAAGGCCTCCGCAAACCGGACATTGTACATCATCCCTTAAGTCTATTGTGTGTAGGATTACGAAGACTTTCCCGAATATGTTTCGTATCTTCATTTTGCGCCGCCGTCCCCAGGGCTTCCCGGGAGCCGCTTTTCGACGCGCGCCAGGCTGCGCGCCTCGCCTGAACGCCAGGGAGACGCCGATAAGTCAGCGGTAGTTAACAGTGATTGATCACATCAGATCGTGAGGCAGCTAATGTATGGGCGACGGTTGTGGCATTGATGAGTGCCCGGGCGCCCGGCCGCCGCCCGTGGTCGGTCTTCCGAGTGACGGAGGCTGAGAGCGAGAGAGAGGCCATGACGACAGCGCCCGACCGCCACCTCCGCCTGGCCGCGGCTCACCAGGCAGTGTTGTGGTGGACGCGGTGTGGAGAGCACATGTGAACGTTCGTCCCGCGCGCACTCACGCCCGCGCCCCGTGCTGGCCAAGCGACGCATCTGTAGGCCTCTTGTGTACGGGATCGTTTCAGTTATTTTTTTCGTTTCTGATACGAAATGTGTGCTTTTATGTGTTGTGCAAAGTGTGGAGATTTTTTTCCCTAGAAAATGATAATGTGTTTTTGAAAATTGTAAAAGGAAAGTAACGGAGTGTCTGATAATAAAGCTAACACCAGTAAAGTGAACTAAGGACGAGATGACACACGATGATATTAGCGCTGATGTGAATAATTGATAGACCAATCATCCGTGCGGTGTTGATTACGCTCTGATATTTACCCCTGCATTTTTATTACGCTATCCAGGTGTCAGTGAGGTAAATTGTAACTGATGTGTTATTACCGAGATTGTTCTTAAGGTCGGGTGTCAGTTTCTGCAATTAAGCGGACAAGTTGGCCTTACGAAGTTGTTGTTGGCAGCTGCATGAGTATTGCAAATGTCTTGTTGAAAACTTGCAGGTGTAAGTGCAGATGCCCTGGTGCAGATATGACCTTGCAAAAATTCTCATACGATCGGTTGTTGTTTTTAAGACCCGTTTTTACGTAATTTGTGAAATTAGTGTACATGAATATTAGCTCTGATTCACGGGGTTTGAGGTGCGCCGTTGTATCAGGTTGGCAACTTGCGACACTGAACACCTCGTATCCGTTACAAGTCCAGCAATATCTTTCCCTGTTTTACATCACCTCGCCTATTGGATAGCGGGAAATCGAGCCTCGAGAGATGATGAGGTGGTTTTATAATTAATGTGGAGGTTAGGACAAGTAACCTGGCACAACGAAGGGGGCGAGGGGGGGGGGAAGAGTGCGCTCCCATGGTCTATCTACCTGGGACATCGGGGGACTGAAAGCACGCCGAAGCACGTCTTTATCTGGAACAGGCTATCTCGACGGCTTTTCTCTTTCTCTCCCTCTCTCTGGCGTTGTCCATTCTCTCTCTCTCTCTCTCTCTCTCTCTCTCTCTCTCTCTCTCTCTCTCTCTCTCTCTCTCTCTCTCTCTCTCTCTCTCTCTCTCTCTCTCTCTCTCTCTCTCTCTTTCTCTCTCTCTCTCTCTCTCTCTTTCTTCTTTCTTTCTATATATCTGTCTAATTATCATTCCCCTTCTCTTTCTTTCTCCCCCCTCTCTCTCTTTCTTTCACCTTCCCCCCCTCTCTCTCTCTCTCTCTCTCTCTCTCTCTCTCTCTCTCTCTCTCTCTCTATATATATATATATATATATATATATATATATATATTTATCTTTCTCTCTCTCTCTTTTCTCTCTCTCCTCCCTCCTCTTCTCTCTTTCTCTCTCTCTCCCTCCCTCCCCTTCTCTCTTTCTCCCTTCCTCCCTCTCCTTCTCTCTTTCTCCCTTACTTTTTTCCTCCCTCCCTCTCCCTTTCTCACTTTCCATTTTCCCTCCCTCCCTCTCCATTTCTCTTTCTCCCTCCATCCCTCGTATTCACTCTCCCTCCCTCCCTCCTACTCCCGCCCCCTCTCCCTGCTTTCTCCTCATACTTATTTTCAGTGGCGCTTGTATGTGTCACCAGAATCCTACGACCTTTGACCGGGCTATTTGGGGACGCTGGCGTAATGAGATCATGCCTTGCGCGGCCGTCGTAACATCCGGCCCGTGAATTTACCTGGAACATGACCCGCAGCGGCAGGAGTCAGAGCCCCGGTCCTCGCGACAAGGAGAGTCCTTTTTTCTCCTTCTGTCCGTTATGAGTTCACGCTAGTCAGGTGTGGACGGAGACACACGGGGCGCCTGTGTGCCGGGGAGCCGTAACTCATGGATACTTAGAGCAGCACAGAGAGGTAGCTGTGTAGGGCGGGAGCAAGGGTCACACACGCCTCTGGGCACGACGATACACGCACGCCCTCGAGGGTACGGGCACGAGTCCTACCGAGGGAGGGAGGGGCGAGAGTGAGGTTGGGGGTGAACCACGCACTCTAGGATAATGACCAGGGACCGTGTGCAAGGGAGGAAGGGGGCGATGAGGTGAGCGAGCAATTATGACGGAGGCGATGGGTATTGGGGGATGGTGGGGCTCCGAGCTTGTTTTGCTTCTCTTTCCTTGAATTCTGTTGGCGATTTCACCAGCAGCTTCGTCGGTCGCTGATTTCTACCTGTTCAGAAAGGAAATTTGAATGTCATTTTACTGTATGTGAATGCGGACTGACAACTTTGTATTTGGTTTAGGATTATGGCCATGACAAGGCTACGTCGTGTTTCAGAATCTGTTTATTTAAGCGATGTTAGGAAGCTTTTTGATTGATTTCTTTTGAATTGAAGAAGAAAAAATATCTTGATACTTTCAGATTCTCGATTTGACTTGCGCTGACAGATTCATTAAAGGCTATCACAGAATATTGGAAAGAGCCAGATAATTTGGGGTTGAGACGACCAGCATCCTGTGACCTTCATAACTCATCTCAGCCGAGATCAGCAAAGGTCACCTCCCTGCCTGCCCGCCGGGCATCAGGTAATTGCCGGAAACGCGAATACCCAAGAAACAATCGCCTGAACTGCTCCCG